TCCAGTCTACCTCCATGTAGGATAATCCCCAGCAGCAAGACAGGGAATTAGCAGGATGAAAATTCAGCCAATCTGGCTCTTCCCTCTGAGTCAGAGCCAGCTGTTAAATCTCCTGGAGAACACTCATTTCCCAGCTGCACATCCCTGCCCTCTTGCCCTGAGCCCCATCCTGCCAGGGAGTGTGGAGCCAGGTCAGCACAGGGCCACCAGGCACACGAGGGACGGGCACACACATTGAGCCCTGACGTGCTGCTCCTTGAAACTGGCCCAAAATCAGGACACAAGCCCTAAATCCATAAGGCAGTGGAAGAAATCCCTTGGCTTTCCTGGTGCTTGGGGCTCAGCAGAGGGAACCTGCCTCTCAGAAGACCACGGTGCCTCTCCAAGGGCATGGACTTTGCCTGGAGAGGCTCAGGGTCTGCAGAGAGACCCCAGCGTGCCACAGATCCCACAGGCACCTCTGGAGAGGCTTGGGGTCTGCAGAGAGACCCCAGGGTGCCACAGATCCCACAGGCACCTCTGGAATGGTGCTGAGGATACACCTGCAGGTGCCTGGCTTGACCTGCTGTTTCCAGAGAGGTGTTTGCAAGCCCAGCACTGGCACGAGGGAAGCTCCTCAGTCGGGAGAGTCAGACCTGCTCCCGGTCACTGGCCTCAAGGTTTGCTCAGCCTGGAGAAGAGGAGACTGAGGGGAGACCTCCTTGAGGGCTTCAACATCCTCACGAGGGGCAGTGGAGGGGCAGGTACCAATCTCTGCTCTCTGTGAGCACTGACAGGCTCCCCAGGGCAGTGGGCACAGCCCCAAGGCTGCCAGAGCTCCAAGAGGGTTTGGATGATCCTCTGGGGCACAGGGGGTGACTCTTGGGGCTGGGCCTGTGCAGGGCCAGGAGTTGGACTGGATGATCCTTGTGATCCCTTCCATCTCGGCACGTTCTATGATTCTATAATTCCAGAATTCTAGACTTCTATGCCCCTTCCCAAGGAGCAATGAGTTCCAGGTGGCCATTCCGGGGCGGATGCTCAGGAGCAAACGCTCCACATCCCATCGCGTGTTTGCAAGTGTGGCAGGAGCGGGTGGTGTGGCAGGAGCGGGCTGTGTGTTGCTATTCTTGACGGACTCACGGCTGTGTGAGCACGGCAGGGCGGTGCTGCCTCACCCTCAGCCTCTGCTGGAAAAGCGCAGTCAAGCGTGGCTGCCACAGAGCCATTAGACCAGCCCCGGGGGTGCATCCCTCGCCTCCACGCCGGTGCTGTGCCACGGGGTCGGGCAGGGGATCACTCCCTCTCTCCCTCCCGGAGCTCAGGGTCGGGGCAGAGGATCCCTCCCTCTCTCCT